GTTTCCCCCCCCCCCCCCCGCCGCCGCCCCACCAGCGCACCTCTGGGATGACCCGCACAGAGCAGTCGGTCTGCGGGTAGCACACGCACATGAGCGCGTATCCCTGCTCCATGCATTCCTCGCTGATCATGCCGCCCGGCTGCGTCACCTCCCCAGACTCGATCTTCGCGGAGCAGCGGCTGCAGCAGCGGGAGGTGGGCGGGGCGGGTGTCTTTGAGGGTTCAAGAGAGCGGAGTGGAACGTATGCAGCGCCAGCCCACGATGCACTGCAATCCTGCTGCGCTGCCGAGCTACGCTGGCATGCAGGAGCAGGCTGCAGGCGAGGCGCAAGCTGCGGTGTGTGGGACTGGGGCACGGGCACAGGCAGGACGGCTCCATCGCAGGACTCGACGCCGAGACCACTCACAGGCAGACGCCCATCTTGCAGTCATACGGCATGTCCAGCCCCTGGTCAATGGCAACCTCCAGGATGGTGGCGTCCTCCGGCACGTCCAGCATGTGTGTGACGCCCTCTAGATCCACCAGCTCCACCCTTGCACGCGCCGCCACGCTGTGCTGCCGCTGCCGCCGCTGCTGCTGCCGCCAGGCCAGGGCCGGCGGCTGTGAGGGGGGCCGCCGGCCGCTGGTCGAGCACCCCCGGGCCGGGGCGGATGCTGTGTTCTGCACGGCGGCCTGCATAACGCTGGCAACGAGTGGTGAACTTTGAGTCGGGTCGGCAGGGAGCGCTGGAGGGGCGGCGGGCGCCTCAAAGTAGGTGCGGGGGGCTCGGGTATGGCAGCTATGCGCACCAAAGGAGCTGTGGCGTCGGGTGGGGCTGTGGATAAAACTCTGCCGCGCGTGGACGCAGCACGGCTCAGCACGGAGTTCAACGTTCTGAAATGGGTCAAAATGAGCATCTTGATGATTGCCAGGGCATTCAGGAGGGACAGTGAGGCTCCCAGCAGGGATAGCCAATGGCACCGCACGGGACCCTCTTGTGTGTCGCCCTGCTCCTCCGCCTTGCCACTCCAGCCGCTGGTAAGTCCGCTGCCGATGCAAACTCGGGAGACGAAGCCCTCAGGCGGCAACCCAGCCGGTCAGCAAAAGCAACGCAACAAACCCCGCTAGCTGCCCACGCCCCTGGCAGGCAGAAGACTGCTTGCATCAGCCGGGCAAGGCGGCCTGACCGCAGGGGCGGAGGACGCAGCGCCCGCACCACCGCGGCAGGAGGCGGCGGACGCAGACGGGCTGCTGACCGCCGCCCTCGCCCGCGCTCGTGGCACCACCAACGCCTCGTGTTACACTGACGTGGCCTGCGCTGGCGACAGCTGGCACGACGCCGCCGACGCTGTGGTGCTGCTGCTGATGGCCAGCCCGGCGGGGGCACGCTTCTGCACTGGTGGGTGCTCGCGGGCGTGCCGCACGTGGTGGGTGCTGCCCGCTCACTGCCGCCGCGTTTGTCACCCGCAGGCACCCTTCTCAACACAGCACACCTGGCGGCCGCGGGCCAGGCGGCCACCTACGTTCTGTCTGCCAGCCACTGCCGGGGGTTCGACACCGGCGACGATGCCGCCCTGTACTCTGCCGTATTTGACGAGCGGCAGGGGGCCTGTGCCTGGCCCGGCGCCGCCGCCTCGCCCGCGCAGCCTGCGCCAGCGCCGCGCGTGCTCACCGGCCTGCGTGTGGCGTGGCAGGACGAGGCCAGCGACGTGCTGCTGCTGCGCGCCGACGGAGCCATCCCGGCAGGTGGGGGTGGGTGGGGGCAGGCTGCGGCGGGGGCCCTTGCGGCTGGGTGCTGGGAAGTCAAGGGGGCAGTGCCGTGATGGGAGGGCCGCGCCAACCCCCTGCCTGCCTGCCTGGCTGCCTGGCTACCTGCCTGGTGCAGAGTATGGCGCGTATTACTTGGGCTGGGACGCCAGCGGCTGGGCGCCGGACGCCACCGCCCCCGCCACCATCAGCCACCCGCGCGGCGACGTGAAGAAGCTGTCGCTCGGTGGCGAGGGCCTGCGCCGAGCGCACTACTCACCCGCCGGCGGCGACTCGGCAAGCGGCGGCGACGCCACACACTACCAGGTGGGTGCCGGCTGGTGCCTGCTGGCAGGCGCCTGGGCAGCGGCTGGGATGGAGGTGTCGCGCAGGCTCATGCTGCGAGCTGCCCCTTTCGGCTGGCAGGTGCGCTGGACCCAGGGCGGCACCGACGTCGGCTCCTCGGGTGCGCCGCTGCTGGATGCTGGCAGGCGGCAGGCGCTGGGGGTGCTGACGGGGGGCGAGGCCGCCACCTGCGGCAACCGAGACTTTTTCGGCTCGCTGCATGCCGTGAGTCAGGGCACCTGCCACGCTGAGATGCGGTACTGGTAGTGCCACCGCACCCCTGGCCAACAGCGCAAGGCTTGGCTCAAGGCAGTGAGCTTGTGAGGAGAGCTGGCCTGCCGCCTCCTGCCCCACCCCGCCCCCGACCGCCTCTGCACACCACACACCGCCTGCCGCAGGCGTGGCTGCGGGGGCTGTGGCGGGTGCTGAGCCCCGCGGGGCCCCAGGCTGTGGCCTGGATGCCGGGCAGCCGCCAGCAAGGATGCCAGCAGGGCCTGGTGGTCAGCCCAGGCGCGCTGCTGCTGTCAGACGGCGCCAGCAGCGGGCAGGCGGCGCAGCTGTGGGTGCGCCTCGCGGCGCAGCCTGCTGCAGGCGAGCAGCTGACGGTGGCGGTCGCTGTGCAGCAGGCCGAGCCGCCGCAGCTGCCCGGGGCTGCTGCTGATGTGGCGGCGCCAGGCGAAAATTCAGCAGGAGGCGCGGGGCAGGGGCAGGCGCCCGCCCCGCACATCGCTGCCAGCCCGCAGCGCCTGCAGTTCAGCGATGGTGACTGGGCGCAGGAGCAAGCAGTGACAGTGAGCGTTGGCGCCGGGGATGACCGAGCTGAGCCCCCTACCGCCTTCAACGTGACCCTGCACCTCAGCAGTGGCAGCGACAGCAGCAGTGGCTGCCTCGGTGCTGCCGGCTGGAGCACGGTTGTGCGTGGGAGGCGGGTGGATGGCGATACGCCCGCAGGTGTGCATCGCTGCCCGATGTGGGGCAGGCCCTGGCCTGCGGGGGCGCCTTGCTGTTGGTCTGTGCACCTGGCCGGCCCGCCTCCCCTGCTTGCATGCACATCGTGGCCCACCACCTCCCTGGCCTGCTTGCCCAGAGCAGGGCCCCGCTGCGGCCCTGGCATGCATGCAGGCAGCACCCCGCAGCAGCCCATCCTCATCCAGGCTGGCGAGCAGCTCGACTATGCTGCCGAGGGCGTGCTGCTAGTCCCAGCAGTAGCAGCAGCAGCAGGGCCAGCACCAGACAGCCCCGAGCCAGCGGCGCCAGCGCAGCGGTACGATGCGGTGCGGCTTGGCCAGGCGCTGGGCTCGCTGGCGGCGGCGGGGCGGCCGCAGGGGTTGGTGCAGTACTACAGCCTGACCACCGCTGGTACCGTCAACGTCAGCATCTCCGCCTGCAGCGCCGAGGGGCCCCTGCAGGTGGCACTGTTTGCGCATGGAGTGGCCTCGTGGTGAGCAGCTGGATGGCATGCCATGCTCCTCCACTGCAGCCCCTGTCATGGCAGCCGCCTAGCTTGGGTTCGGGTGCCGCCCCTGCTGAGCAGCACCTGGGGCCGCCTGCTCATGACGTGCAGGCTGAGCACAGCGCCGTGCCCAGACGTGGAGGGTGGCCTGGAGGCTGGTGGCGCTGTGTGCCTGCCATCGAGTGGCAGTGAATGCACCGGCGTGCAGGGGCTGCTGCTGCCAGGGGTCGGCGCTGGGCAGCCCTACACTCTGGCGGTCCTGCCATTGCCGCCGCCCTCGGCGCCAGACGCACCCGCCGCCAGCATGTCGTCGCGTACTGGTGGCGACGCGGCAAGCCTCCAACATGTCCTAAGCGCAGGCGGCCCCATCCATTATGAGCTGTTAGTCGCCGCGCGCCCGCTCACACCCACATTCTTGACCTCCCACTGAGCGCTTACAGAGCTTGGCTCGCAAATCAGGTTGGGCGTGGCATGCAGGCAACGTCGCTGAAAACGTATTCGATCGACTGGTGTGATGGTGAACACTCATGCATTGTAGAAAGCATTGCTTGGAAAATGAGGCATTCAGGGGACTTGGTGATGTGATGGGCGAGACATCTAGATCTGATTGGATGCCGATAATCTGAGCAAGCCACGGCACAGAGCAGGTTGTACACAGGCAACGCCAGGGGTGCAAGGGTCGGTTGCAATAAAAGCGGGGTGCGCAGCGCGGGAATGTCCAGCGCGGATGAAAGGCAGGGGGCGGGCGGTGCGTCCAAGAATTTCATACGTTTTGGGAACGAATGGTCGTACGTTGTGAGAGGATAGGTTGTTGTGAACACACCTGTGGCAGGGGTTCAGAAGGCAAGAAGGCCATGACAAGATAGGCCGTCGGGTGCAGCGCAAGGCGCCTTGCCCCCCACGCAAGAAACGAGCGGAGGACAGACTGACAGGTACAGGGCTTGGGGGCCACGGGGCAAACGACTTGAGAACGAGAAAGGAGTGGGGAGAGCCGAAAGGGAGAGCAGGGACTGGTCCTGCCAGGGAATGGGCAAAAGCTGGATGGGGCATGACGTACGTATTGGAGGCTTGGAAAGAGAGAAACAGGGACTGGGCTGTTGTTTTCGACCTGATTGGTTTGGATCGAGGCTAAGCTGGGCGCCTCGTAAGGTAGGGCTCGCAGCGTTGGGGGGCGCGGTCGACCTAGAACTGGGCCAGGAAGCTGCGGGCGCTGTGCAGGCGGCAGGCCTCCTCCACAGGCAGCGCGTCCAGCAGGCCTGGGGACAGGGGCCGCGGCAGCGGGTCTGGCGCCGCGCCAGCGGAGCCACAGCTTGCCAGCGGCAGCAGCAGGGCGCCGTGCTGGGCCAGCAGCAGCGCCGCCTCCCGCGGCGCCAGCGCCGAGACAAGGTGGTGCATCAGCGTCTGGTGGTGCGGGCTGGGCGCGAGGCTGGGCGCGGCGCCAACGTTGCTTGCCGAGGCGCCGGTGCACTCGCTGAGGCACGCCGGTGTGCGGATGCCGGCGGCGGTATCCTCCCCAGGGGAGGAGGACCGCGCCTCCGCCTCCTGGCGCAGCCGGAACGGGCTGAGGCCTGGCTGGGATGGCGCAACTGCCTGCACGACCGCGCCGCTGTTGCGGCAGGCGCCCACCTGGCTGCTGCGGCGCTTGAGCACCACGGGGCTCAGCGAAGCGGCCCTGCTGCTGCTGCTGCTGCTGCGGTGGCGGTGGTGGCTGTGGTGATGCTGGTGGCGTAGGCTACGGCCGAGGTGCGTGCCCTTGCGCGCCTTGCCTGCCGCGCCATAAGCGGCGCGACGGCTGAGGTGGCTGCTCTGCAGCGGCACGCCTGCCGTCGGCTGCCACAGCTGCGCAGCCCCTGCCGCCTGGCGGGCTGCGCTGGGGGCTGCGCCGCCGCACGTCTGGAGAGCGTCGGCGGCTTGGAGCAGGGCCGCCCATGCATCTGCAGCTGGCGCGCAGCCTGCAGGTCGGTCAAGGCGGGGGGCAGAGCAGCCTGGAGTCAGGATGCAGCCGGCAGCCGGGGCGATTGGCAGGGTGCGACAGCGGCCACTCTGGGGGCTCCCAGGTGGGGACATGCACAGGGCGCGTGGCGGCGGCGGCAGCTGGCCCAGCAGTTGGCTGTACGACAGCTGCACCTGCGGCCTGTGCTGGCAAGCATGGTTTCTGGGCATTCTGCAGCTCCATGCCCGCTTCTTGCATGCTGAGTCGATGTGGGGGGTAAGAGTCTGCAGTGTGGAGGGGTTCAAGCGGAGGAGAGGGCGTCAAACACTGCCGCCCCCCGGCTGCAGCTGCTGCCCCCGACCGTCCCGCCGCCAAAGTGCCCCCCGCTCCGGTCCCCACTCGCCTCGCTCCGCCCTTCTCCAGCGCTCAAGGGGGCTGGATGGGAGTTGGTCGGGGTACAAACACGTCCGGTCCGTGTTCACGCGTTGTACTCGGGGTGGGAGTGTTGCACGACGCGGTGTGGGAGTTGCCCGCAAACGCTGCACAGGAATTGGGCAGGGGAGGCCACCCGTGTGGATTGCAGGGGCCGGACGCTGCCACCGCCCCCAGGCGTCTGGAACCGCGATCCCGCTCGCACGGTGCTTTCCGGTTTTCACGGCATATCCACACTCACCAGGTGCCAATGCAAAATGAAACAACGGGCGGCCGACGCAAGTTGCAGTGTTTGGGCAGATGTGGACGGTCGTTCCTCCACCGCTCAGCACAGCAGCACCGCATCAGGGATATGAAGGCAGATATCAGAACATCAGCGAGTCTGCCCGGCGCTCGCATGTGGACGTTGTGGGCGCTGAGCGGTGGGCAGGCGCTGGCACGCCCGCCGGCGCGAGGCGGCACATGTGCGGCATGTCGACGGCGAGCAACCGCCCTGAGCTACCTTCAGGGCTCCTGCATCCGGTAGCTGTGCCTGTGTGTGAGTGAGAAAATAGAGTCATCACAGGTGCGGGTTCGTGGTCCCAACCTGGCCTGAGCCGGTGGGCAGAGTTCCAGCCGGCGGCAATCGGTAATCAGGGGGGTAGGTGCAGGCGAGCGTTGTGGGGTCGATCTAGAGGCATGGTGGAAAAGGAAACGCAGTAGGTGTGAAGTATCGAGCAAGCCACAGGAGTACGTAGTGGGGGAGCAGACACACAGAGGGAAGCACGCTAGTACGGAAGAAGGGGTAGTGGAGAGCGGGCGCCGAAGCATGATGGTCCCGGCCGGCGCGCTCCTAAGAATTGCCTGAGAAAAGGTACAAGGGCAGCTAAAGCTCTCTTTGTACATGAAAAGCAGTGTGTATGACCGAGGCATGGGGGGCAGATTGGGTTCATCGTGAATCAAAGTTAAGTAACGCGAGGGGAGAACAAACAACACAGAGGCCCCCCGTGCAGCCAGGCCACCTGGCGCATGGCAGGGAGAGCAGCACTGCGTCGTAGCTTTTTAAGGGGCGCACTCCGGCCACGACGGATGTGGAAGCTAGCGACAAAATAATACATCTGACAAAGCAAGTGGCCGCCGGGCGGCAGGCAGCGGCCAACCGGCAGGCGGCCCAGCCGCCCACCACCGCCCAATGCGGGGCCATCTCAGTATTGGGCCAGGAAGGCGCGGGCGCGGGCCAGCTCAGCTGCCTCCTCTGCGGGCAGCGCCGCCAGCAGAATGGCGACGTGATGGGCGATCAGGGCGGGGAGGAGGCCGCCGCCGGCTGCCGGCCACTGCCCGCCATGCCCGTTGCAGGCGGGGCGGTCTGGCAGGAACACGGGAGTCCGCAGCTCCTCCACGGCGCCCTCGTCAGCAGCTGCCGCAGCGCCCTCGGCTGCCAGCTTGTGCCAGCGAGCCGAGCCGCACCGCTCGTCCGCCGGGCGGTGCCGCTCCGCTGTCTTCTTCAGCTGGCTGGAGCCGACGCCGAGGCGGCTGCGTCGGGCGGGGCGTCCTCGTGCTGAGTGGTTGCTGCTGCGCCACGCTGAGGCCCGAAGCGCAGCCTGCCAGCTGGTGGGGCCAGCTGGCTGCCGGCCAGCGCGAGTGCCGGATGCACCTGACGCCATCATCAGCGCAGCCCAGACCGCGGCGGGCTGCTCATCCCGTGAGGCGACGTTCTGGCGGGTCGGCGCGGCGTTCTGGTGGGTCGGGGTGGTCACATGTATCTCGCTCAGGCTGGAGCGGCAGCTGCCGGCGGAGGCCTGGGAGGAGGAGCTGGGCAGCTGGGCGGCAGCCGCACCCTCGGGCTGCCGAGGCGTGTGCAGGGCAGTGTGCAGAGCCATCAGCAGGGTGTTTGAGGTGTTTGGGGCGAGGAAGGGGGTCTGCAGGCGTGGGGAAGTAGGGTGAAGAAATCAGACGGGAAACGCTGCGTTCTCCCAATGAAGGAGGCAGCTGCGTAGTGGCGGCGGGCGGCGGCCGCGGTTGCAGTCCTTCTACAGCTGGACGGGCAGCTCACCGGTGACGGTATGCCATGGCTCCTTGCGCTCCAGAGTCGCCTGGGAGTCTGAACCGAACGAATTTGCGCACGAAACTGCGTTCTGCGAGCAGACACACGGGGTGTCCGGAAGGGAGCGCGTTTGGGCTACACAGCAGAGATTGCCGCAAGCACGCACGCACGCGACAGCTTGGCCATGCGATTGGTTCTGCTGAGAGGACAGCCCAAGCCAAACGAGGGCGCAGGCGGCCTTACATACCCTCAGGTTGAGGCGGTGGGGCGTTGGAGGTCGGCTGCAGCCCAAATTGCGCACACAGTGTTTTTAAATGCACTCCAGGGCGGCGAAGAGGGAATGACTAGTGAGGGGAACGGTGGGATGCCTGCCCCAAGTACACCCGGCCAGGGACCTCCTCTGAGCCACGAAAAATGCAGACTACGTGACCTGAACTTCAAGCTGCCAATGGCTCTCAACGGCTCACAAGGCATGTGATGCAACAAACAAACGCGGCCAGCCCGGGCACTGACCCACCGCTAACAGATGGCCCTTGCCCGTCGCCGCCCTCGCCGCCGCCGTACGCCGCTATGCGCACATGGAGCCTGCATGGAAAGCATCGGTCGCCCAGGCCTGCGCTGAGCAGGCGCGTCCTAATTTTAAAAACGGCCCCGCCCCGCATTCATGCCAGACTCCAGCATTGGACGCGGCGCCTCTCTGCCGCCGTCTTCATAGGCGGATGTACATGTGCAGGATTGAATCGACCCTCCGGCTGCGCGTGTTACATACGTTGACAACCCAAGGCTCACAAATGAAGCGTGCTTGGAAGCGAGGGCCCCACCCTGCGCCGGCGCCGCCTGCGCCTACAGCAGGCCGTCGTCGTCCTCCTCTGTGGGCAGCTTGGAGAGGCGGCGCAGGTAGACCTCCTGCAGGATGGTGCGCGCCAGCGGGCCGCCGCTGGGCACCCAGGCCAGCGCCGCATCCAGGCCCCGGTCCAGCCCCAGCACCCGCGCCAGGCACCGCTCCGCCGCAACCTTGGTGGGGCCGGACGTGCCCTGCGGCCGAGCAGGCAGGCAGGGAGGGAGGCAGGGCGGGGCGGGGCTGGGTGGGGGGGGTGAAAGACCGGCCGAGGCGGGCGGGCAGCGGGAGGCGCCAGCAGCGGCAGCAGCTGCAGCGGCAGGCCCGCTCCCCTGCTCCCACTCCTCGCGCCAGCAGCAGCAACCCTGCGCCAACAAACGCTGCCCCGCAGGGAGCCAGCCAGCCGACTGCTGCTGCTGCGGCGGCGGCTGCGGCTGCTGCTGCTGCTGCACGCCCGCCCACCCACCCCACCTGCACAATGGCGCAGATGGAGGGCACCACCTCCTTCCAGTGAGGCGGCAGCGCCCGCGGCGACGCCGCCGCCACCCGGCGCAGCACCGACAGCATGGTGCGCTGGACCTCTGCAGGCAGGGGGGCGAGGGAGGCGAGGGGTCAGGCACGTGCCTCGTCACCTCTGGTGCCCCTTCACCTTCCCCACGCATCCGCCACCACACACCGTGCACACGCATCACCAACCACACACCACCACACCACAGGCACCACCACCACCACGCCAACCACACACTAACCACACACCAACCACACACCAACTACACAGCAACCCAGGCGCCACCAGCACACACCACACCACACACCCGAATCCTGATCCATGCCCAGCAGCGCCACGCCCGTGGACAGCAGCATGGGCAGCGACTGCGGCGGCGCGCCCTGGCCCTCCTCGGCCTGCGCCAGCAGCAGGCGGCCGGTGGCCCGCGCCGCCGCGGCCTTGACGTCGGGCGAGGGGTCACGCCCCGCCTTCACTATCGACTCTGCACAGCAGGGGCAGCAGCAGCGGTGGCGGCAGCGGTGGTGGCGAGGGACGGCAGGTGCGGGAAGCAGCTTGCGGCGCTTGCCGGCAGCCAAGGGAGGCTCATAGGCAGGGTGGCAGGCCCACCCCCGAGGCAGCGCAGCAGCATCCCGGCTGGAGCCAGCTGCAGCCGGGGCGCCGGGGCTCACCCACAAACCGTGGCAGCAGGCCCTGCTCCTCCAGCCGCGCCGCAGCGTGCTGCGCCACCGCCGCCGCCGTCTGCAGGAGCAGCGGGGGGCGGGCGAGCTTGCGTGTGTGTGCCTGTTTTGCGTGTGGTGTGTGTGTGTACGCGCGTGTCTGTGTCTTCGTCTGTGCATCTGTGTGTGTGTCTGTGTGTGTGCGTGCCTGTGTGTGTGTGCCTGTGTGTGTGTGCCTGTGTGTGCGTGTATGTGCGCGCGTGTGTCTGTGTTCGGGAGACCCCTTCCTCCACACACCTGAGCAGAGCCGATGCGTTCCGACAGGCGCCCGCTGCCGCCGCCCAGCGGCCCCGCCTCTAGCAGCGCCGACAGCTCCTCCGGCGCGCAGTGCCTGGCGAAGGCGCCCGCTGCGCCCGCGGCCGCGGACCGCAGCTCCTCATCGTCGCCGGCGGCGGCGGTCACTGCCTTGAGGGACAGGCCCACCTGCAGGGGAGGGTTGGGGGGTGGGGGGGCGGCAGGGGGAGGGGGCAGAGGGTCGGGACAGGGGACAGGACAGGACAGGACAGGACAGGACAGGACAGGACAGGACAGGGGGACTGGACAGGGCACGGGGGCAGGACAGGGCAGGACAGGGGAGAGCGCAGGGCAGCCAGTCATGAGCCTGCCTCCGGCACGTGCAGGTGTACCGCGGCGGCGCGGCGCGTGACGCCCACCTTGGCGATGGTGTCTATC